CGCACCACTCGCTCAATGAACCCCTGAAAGCTACAAGATATTCCTGCAGTTCATGTAGAGCTGCGCAACCAGAGCCAACCAGAGTGGTGTTTAAAGTCCTACCTTGATCAAAAACTCTGGAAAGAATCATAATTCCTCACAGTGGATTGATGTAAGTATCCATACAGGTCAGCCTGAGTCCAGTTTGACTGAAAGGATCCGCACCGAGGTAAACTTAATCCAGCTGCTGCAGCGTGTGAGGCACCAGCAGTGTGATTGGTCCAGTTTTAGATGCAAAAACTATAAATCAGTGGTTCTTAACCTGGGTTCGATCGAACCCCAGGGGTTCGGCGGAGCCTCTGCCACGGAGGTAAAGACTCACTGTGTAAAGTCGTGATGACGCCCCGCTTTGCCATCACTTGCTGTAGAGGATCACGTTACATTGCTGAGCCAATCAGAGCTGCGGAGGAGCACCGATTGGAGGAGCTCCTCTCTCAGCAGGGATTCGAACTTGTGTCTTTAATTACTTCACGGTTTTTACCAAATTCTATAGTCTAAATCTGCTCCTTAGTTGCATCTTTTCGGGGTTGCTACTGCCTCTAGTGGCGTGGGGGTGGAAACACAACTAATATAATTACATTTCTAAATCAGAATACCACAAAGTCTTTGTTATTTATTATTAATTTTTCATTCTCTTAATAATGTAGAGCTAATTAAATGATCTAAAGACCTTAAAGTGGTTCCAGTTTCTCTCGATGGCCAACCTGTTGAAACTGGCAAATTTTAAATACCTTGGGTCGTTCCTGGACAGTCGGCTCAACTTTGCTGAAAACACTGACTGTATTTTGAAGAACTGTTCTCAGAGACTCTACCTTTTAAGACTTAGTGATCATGGGGTGACCCAACTAGACTCTAGTTGGGTCACCCCTATGTCTTGAATTTGGGGGAAAAAAATCCTATCTAATTTATCACTACTGAAGGGTTCAGTGAATGCGCATATGAAACTGGTGGGCTCTGATATAAACCTATCTTCTATAAACTTATGTTTTAGGAATAAATCTGCTTGGCCAGTGAAGCGCTCAGAGCAACAGAGATGCTGCTTAAAAACCCCAAACAAAACAAAACAAAAAAGTGTTGTTTTTTTGTTAATTACTATTTTCCTAAAAACATAAAGAAGAAACTCTTAGCCTGGCGGTGGCGCTAGTGAAGGATGGCAGGCGCCAGGCCTATAATACACTGGGGGAAACCCTGTTACTGTAAACAGTCTTCAGCTCTCCAAAGACTTGAGGATCATAGATACCAGGAACCACATCTGCTGTCCAGCAGGAGGAAACATCCTGAAAATCTGAAGGTGAGGATCAGTTCGTCAGCTCAAGCCTTTAGGCAGAAGGCAGAATAAGATCAGGTGGTCTTTGATGCTGAAAGCCTGTTGAACTCCTCAGTGATCTTTAGACTCTGCCTTGGCCCTCGTCTGCCACCTTCCTCTCGATGTGGACGGACTTTCTTCTCCTTTATTGGTTCCTGTGAATCTGGGCTCTAAACCTGCTGTGAAACATTCAGGTTGATTCTCAGTGAAGGTCAGATTTTTTCACAGGTCTTTACAAGAGACAGCTGAGGCCCGGTAAGATTCAGATTGTTTGGATTTTGTGTGGTTTGGCAGGTGAAGTGGTTCTGCTGGGTCTGCAGCTGAAGAGCAGAACCAGTTGAAAGGTCACCTTTGGGTCAAACCGAGTCGCTGCTTCCAGTGGCTGAGTTTTGGTGTTTCTGGGTTTTGGAACATTTCAGGGAAAAACGGAGCAAAATGTCAAGGTGAGAAGTTAACTTTAGTTAATGGACAGACAGACGGACTGATGGGAACTGTAATTTCTCTGCCTAAAACCTTATCAGGCAACATTTGACCACATCTGCAGCTAGTGATCTCCTAGAAGCCGGGTCACCACTCGCTGACTGCAGATGAAGTGGGTTGGTGGTCCAAGTCAGTTGGAAGCTTTTGTTCTACATAAAGTGATAATTGAGTCCAGCAGCAGAAGAAACATTCTCCAGTATCTTCACGTTGAAACAGAAGGAGTCGTTTTAAGTTGTAATATTTATTTTTTACCAATCGGGTTATAATTATGCCAGTAATTCAGTGTTTGCACCGTCTGGCTGTCTGTGTCTGAAAGACCTTTAGTTTCCAAAGTTGTACATGTATAATAAGGATTGGAAGAATCAGAGAGCTTCGTGTTGAATCCATCAGCGGCTCACCGTAAGGCTCGGAGGTTTTTGTCAAACGTTCAGCCTGACTTCAGTCACTGTGGTCCGTAAACACGGTGAGAAACACTCATACAAAAACTGTTGAATTGTTTCTCTATGGGAGCGTCGCAGCAGCAGCTGAAGGTGGTTTGAGGTTTTTCATATCGACTCGTTGTGGTTGGATTGAAGGGAGGAGGATCGTTATCTACTCCAGCTTATCGCACTGCAGAAACAAAACCTTACCAAGTCATTTTGGTCTAGTTTCCAGAGAAAATAACTCAGTTCACTTGAAATAAGACTAATGGAAAAGTAACTTTTCAGCTAGAAACAGGCACTTGTTCCAAGAACAATTCCTTAATATTGATGGAAATGTACCAGCTTCATTGGCAGATAAATCAACTCATAACAGGAAAAATGTCTTGTTACAAGTGAAATGATCCACCAGTGGAACTGCTTGTCCTTTTTCATCAATATTAAGGAATCATGTTCTGAAACAAGCGCTTATTTGTTGATGAAGTTACTTGTAATCTAGCACATTTAAAATAAGTCAAAAGATATTCACACTAGAAATTAGACCAAAAATACTTGGGAAGATTTTGTGTTTTGCAGTGCTGGACGAAAAAAGAAAAATAATAAAAAAACACAGCAGTGATGTTTAACTAACACACCTTCTGAATATGCATGTAGGAACTTTTTGACTGATGCTATATATAACTAATGAGTTATATATAGATATCTATGGATATCTCATTAGCATCGATCGATTGATCAGCTTCTAAATCTTCTCAGCCCACATCCATGTTGACCACAAGTTCTCAGCCATGAGCTCCAGACCATCATCCAGTCAGACTTTATAACTTTACAGAATAAACTTCCAGACCATCCATCCATCCTCTGACGGACCCGGTTCAACTTGATGATGGAGAGAAACAGGAACAGAACCTGCTTTCTGCTCCGGACCTCTACCCGGAGCTGCACAGCGTGTGGATGCGACTGAAGGACCAGATTTATGGAGCATGACAGGTGAAAGCTAAGCGGCATCATCAACGTAGCCCGGCGTTCGCTTACCAATAATACGAAGTTCGCTAAAGTCAACAACCTCCCAGCTCTCCATCTCAAAGAACCGCCTCCCTGAAAGTTGTTGCATCTCCATCTGAGATCCTCTTCTTGCAGGTTTTGCTTGTTTAGTTGGACATTTCAAAACTGATGAACCCAAAACAAGTTACTCATGGGAGCATGTCTGCTTTAAGCGATTTTTCGTCTTGCTTTTGTGTATTTTTCAATTTTGTTAATTTGATTGGTTGTGCTGTAGCTTACACACATCTACACACACACACACACACAGTGTGGAAAACAGAGACGGTCTGCGTCAGCAGTGCCTCATCGAGGATCCATGTGGCCGCAGCAGATCTGTGTCGTTGTCCAGAAGAAATTAAACCAGAAGACGCCGCACATTTTTTTTGGCACAAAATTTAATTTGTTTTCATGTTTAAATTCAAGTTCTTGTTTAACGCAAATAAAATGTGAGTTTTTGAAATATTTCTGATTAAATTTCAAAGCAGATATCAAAGATACAAAAGTATGTATGTTGAAATGAAAGGCCTTATTTTCAAGCAAACATGGCGGCCGCAGCCCATCCAGTGCGAGGCGCCGAGCTGGACTCATCTGGGCTGGGAGATCAGGACAGATCGTTTTTAATCCGGGTTCCGGAATGGATCCACATCAGAGTTGAAACTGCGCCATATTTGAAGAACAGCAAACAGGAAGGGGCGGAGTCAGACCACGTCAGCGTCATGGCGGTAAAGGAAGGCGCTTCATTAAAACAGTGAAGAACTGAAAATCCCCTTTGGGTTCCAAAGGTTTGCGGTCCGGTGATGACATCCGGTTCTAGACAAGCTAAGCTCACACACTGCGAGTTCTCTGTTTTAGTTTTTTATTTTATTTAGTTACTCTCCCACCTCTGGTTTCTTAACTCGATACAGAACAAGTGTATTTAACCCAAAATGCGACAAAGCCTCACTGAGCTTCTTCTTTCTAACTAAAGTTTTATTTGCTGAACTAAATGTGACGTCGCTGCTTTGGTTCCGGGATAAAACACTAGAACTGTCTACTGGTTTTTAATTTGATCAAATGTTAGTTTCATGTTGGATGAAACGGCGCTAAGCTGAAGGTTGATCCGGTTCATGAACGCTGGTCTCGGCCAGCCGTCCCTCGGAACCTCGGAGGTTCGGTTCGGGACCGTCAGCAGATTTCCGAACCAAACACCGAGAAGCTAATATTCGTCCTTCCTTCTGATCCATGAGGCACACTCTATTGAATTTAAAGTCATTAGAAATATTTTAAATAATTTCATTATGAAAAGAAGAAAACTGTTTATTTTCCTTCAATGGCTTCCGGGTCATGTGACCCATTGACAAAACTGAAACTATTCTACTGGACCAGATGAGGAAACTCATTTTATCCCATCTGAACCTTTTTATATTTTTCAGCTAATTCTATATTTAAAATGTAAGTTTTCTCTTCAACAGCATCCAAGTCATGTGATGAATTGATTCAAAAATCGATGTGAACTTATGGAGGATCTTCATGAGGCGCGATGCCAACCTCAGAGTTCCTGCTAGGATCCAGGAGGGACTGAACCATGGTGCCTCCAGGGCCCAGTTTGGGGCCCTGGTCACTGCAGTCACATGTTCATGTTGCATTTTGCATCAGTTTGTTGTTTTTGATAAATTCTGAATTTATGAGAAAAGTTAAACTTGTTTAAATAAAGAGGCACAAAGAGAACACAGTCCACATTTATTTAAATCTGAAAGTCTACAGAGACAAACACAAGAAGTCAAAGGTCAGACCTGAACCAGAACACCAGGCTGGTGTTCCAACCCACCAGGACCCAGAACCTGCAGAATAAACCGGGACCAGAACCGGCTCCCGACCCATTCCTCTGACGGCCTCGGGTCCGCTCAGGCGGCTCGTCTTCAGGTGAAGCGACAGGAAAAGCACGATCACACAAAGTCTGAAGAAAACATCCGAGGGAAAATAATCGGTTTGTTTCCAAGAGAGCAGCTGAACGCTGGTCTGAACCGGGTCCAACCGGGTCCGGATGGGAGACACCAGAACCGGGCCTTGAACTGCAGAACTTCAGGTTAAAACCCAAAGTCCAGCTGATTTTAGCTCCACTTTAAAACGAAGCGAGCAGAAAAAGAACCGATCAAACATTATTCCTGATGGTTCCTGGAACTGTTCTCATCTTAAACCTTCAGAAAGAATCACTTCATAAAGAGTCAGCAGATCAATAATTAATAATCCGCTGGGCTTTCAGAACCGTCTGATCATTTTTTATGTATTTTAAAACAAAAAGTCACGTGACAGAAACTGCACCTCATTTTTCCATAACTGAATATTTACAAGACTGTAACAGTTAAATAAAGAGATGTTTAAACCATAACAGCTGCAGACGTCTGAACGTTTTAGTTTTCATCCTGCTGGTCTCAGAGCTTCATCCTACTACTTTTCTCCAAGGATCCAGAACCAGAACCAGCAGCCATCCTGACCGGCTGCCTTACAATCACACTGAAATCCCAGCGAGCTGCAGAGTTCGTCTCTGTCCACCAGATGTCACTGTTTACCTCCCAGACTGAAAAGTTTCAGGCTGGAAATATTAAGACATGGATCAAAAACCGTTGATATTTTAGGCTTCTGGACCTTTCTGGTCCCAAATGTAGTTTCTAGTTGAAACATGAATTTCCTGGTTTTAGGAAACTTTCAGCCTTTCTAATGAAACCCAACAGGATCTGATCAGGGAAGCTTTTCAAACCGTTTTGTTCACATCATGCAATTAATTACCTCCTTTTTTCTAAAGGAGCCTGACTGAAGCTTTTGAGTTTTTGGTCGTCAGGGAGACCTGACAGACCGGTGGACCGATGGCCTGACGGACCGGTGGACCGATGGCCTGACGGACCGGTGGACCGATGGCCTGACGGACCGGTGGACCGACAGTCTCACAGCAGCTGCTACTAAAACGAGGCAGAACAGGAACAGAAAGTAAAGGAGCAGATCAGGTTCAGTAAGCAAGCAGGTCACATCTGGAGTTTTTTCTTCATCAGGTGAAGCGTTCCAGGAAGTAGAGGCAGGAAAGCCCGGAAGTATTCAAGCAGGAAGCTAACGGATGTAGCCGTTCACCTCGAGGGTGAGAAGCTAAACCTGCTACAAACAAATCACAAAATACAGTTTTTTCTTTTTCAGTTAATATCTGTAATCTCTGTAAGCTAACAGTAACACTACTGGGCTGCCCTTAGCCCCGCCCACTGCGCCGCCGCCAGGTGTCTGAACCCTCGTTCAGCCCCCACAGTGCAGCTACCCCCATATATAATCAGTAGGTATTTAAAGAGCCTTCCTCCTCCTCCTCCTCCTCCAATGAAAATGAAAGGAGAGATCAGAAAGTCCAGTCTGGTGTGTCCGGCCCGACGCTCCACCTGGCCTCCCCTTAAACCAGAACCAGCCCGCCCTCGCCCCGTCTGCCTCAGGACCAAGAGACGTCCAGGAGCTCCAACCTTTTTCCCAAGAAGAAACCAGATTTCTGGTGAGGGGGGAGGCGTCTGTCTGAATCAGGGGGTCCGAGGTGTTGCTGCAGGGTTCCTCAAAGTTCAGGTTCCCGCCGGTTGAAGGAGGCCGGCGGCAGCGTGGCGCCGCGGTCGCCCTCCGATGCGGGCGCCACCGCTCCTCGAACAGCCGAGAGAGGGGTGGGGTGGTGATTGAGCCTCGTCGGGGGGTCGCGTCGCCTCCCCAGCCTCCACCGGTCCTCGCCGCTTTAATTTTTATGTGTGTTTGGTTCCTCCGTTCCTCCTGGTGGTGGTTCGTCCGGACAAAAGCGCCGCCTCGCGCTGCCCTTCAGTGCGGCGGGTTCATGGCGCCGTGGCCTCGCTGCAGCTTCTGCTTCTGCTGCAGGAGGAGCTGCTCCAGCGCCGACGGGCCGGGCTGCATCATGGAGCTGGACCAGATGGACTGCAGGACATGGAGTGTGTTACTGGACGTCACATTAACATTAGCATGAAGATGACAATCAGACAATAAAATCTGAAACAGGACGACAAGTTTAGCTACTGCCAAAAGTTCAACTAGAGGAAAACTGAAACTACATTTTAAAAAGAAAGTTCACACACACACACACACACGCACAGACACACACACAGACACACACACGCACGCACACACACGCACACACACACACACACACGCACAGACACACACACAGACACACACACACACGCACGCACACAGACACACGCACGCACACACACACGCACGCACACACACACACGGCCGCTGCCTGACAGTCACAC